GGCTTTGGTTTTGGTTTTTTTTAACCAGACTATGCCTTGTTGGAATAGCAATCACCTGGTGCTCTACTGAGCATAAAGGTTTTACTCATTGAGACTTTGGTGCCCTGTAGGTCTCTTGGGCTTTGACCTGGTAGGAAATTGATATTGGAGGAAAAAAGATTGCTAAACTGGGGGTGCGAAGTCGCTGACGGAGCATTTTGAGTAATGCATCTGAGAATGTGTGTTAAGGCACAATTTGTATGAACTGTTGATTTTATAAAATTGTTTCAACCAAGTGCTATTCATCTCCTAATGACAAAGTATTTGTGAGAGTGTGCGGTGTTTGATTCACCCTCAGGAGATACAAATCTTACGTGCTTGGGCTCTAAGCCAGAAGGGCTCAAGAAGAAGTGCTTATTTCCTTTATTCTGTTGAATTTTCATTTTTGTCATTAGCTTTCTAATGCTTGCCTCTGCTAATGATGGCAAAAAAAGGATTAATCAGTCATTATCTGGTGAAAGGCCATTGCTTCAACTTTCTTTAGACATTGATGGATGGTTACACCTTAAAACTCTTTCTTGCATTGCTCTTTATTTTGTCCAAGGGCAGTTTTCTTCCTGTCCTCTCTGTGCCTTGTTTTCAGGGACTTTCACAAGTGTTTTTTAGCCCATAAATCGGTCTTTTCTCTATTGTCTAGCATTACGTTCCATCCTACTGAGGTACAAAAATTAACCAACACAGCTTCTTCTGTGCTTATTTCACAGGCTCACAGGTTTTCTGTCCACATCCTTTCATGAACAGCTAAATATAAACTACAGAAGGTTAAATACCTTGTTATATAATATCTTTTAAATGGAAACACAGCAGATGGTATCTGCTAAGAAAATGTCGCTCGGGCTGGATTGTATCATCTTCTTACATGCGCTTAGGAGCACTGACATGGTGAAGCGTTGAGTTATCTTTCATGTGTGTGTCAGCGCCCAGTGACATGAATACAGCAACATGATCACCATACAGGTGGATCAGAGACAGAGCTGGAGTCATGCCTAGGTGTCTCACCTCCCTCCTCGATGCCTTAACAAGGATGACTGAACTACATGTGAAACAACCCTTCAACTACTGTTACTTAAAGTTGATCATTTTAAAGTCAACTATAACTGATTTGTAGTATTTCTTTGTATTCTGTAAATTGTGGTTGTTCATGAGTTGTACCATGTGCAGTTCAGTTGTCCCTCCCGCTGTCTGACATTTTCTTCTATTTATGAGCTAACACTTCTAGAGACATTTGATTCAGACTCTAAAATTAGGTAGATGTTATTGATCAGACTAAGTTTGTCCCAGTTTCTCGGGAACAGCCTGTGACAGGCTTGTATGAAAACAACAGTATAGTCTTGTGTCTGTCTGTCAGATTGCTTCCTTTCCATCAGATTTAGGTGGGATTACGTGGCTCTCTTGTGTTTGTATATCCTATTTCATATACTAGAAAGTATCTCACTTTTTTTCATGCAGCAAAGTAATACAGTAATGGATTAAATTGTTTTTCCATCTACTATTTTTCAAAAGATTATTAGATGTGAGAGCAGGTGTTTTCTAGCTGTTTTGAAGTCAGATGAAGTGAGTGTTGATGGAATACAGACATTGCAGAAGGTTGTTCAAGATTCCTGGATATCTAAGAAAGAAAGTTTCTTTCCTTCAGGAAGGAGGTTTTATGAAGGAACAGTGAAGAGAAATGAGGTGAGAAGAGAAAGAAGGGCCAGAGAAAACTCAAAGGGCAGTTGTTTCACATGTTGGCGTTGTTTTGGTGGGACAGTGTGTTTAATCCTTTTCAGTATTTGATCACTGAAAAGTAAGAAACCTGTTTAAATGTTTTCCATACATATTTTCAAGGTTTAAAAATTAAGGATTAAGACATTAATCTTAAATTAGCTATCTGCAAAATCAGTGGGAGGAGCTAGACAATCTAAGAAGCCCATGTTTAGCATGGAAAGCTGCTATGCAGTGGAAATGCTGAGTTGAGGAGTGTCTGAATCTCCTGTCTTCTTCTGTCTTTAGGTGCTTGCTTTTCTGTCTGCTTAACAGAGCACAAATTCTTTGAAGGGCACTGATGCCCAAGTGAGCAGCACTTGCTGCTAAAATCAAGGCCTCTGTATAAGATGGTATTACTTTCCTACACTAAAGAAAACTAAGTAGTTGAACCAGCTGCGCAGAAGGGTCTTCCTTAGCCTGAAGGGACTGAAATGAGCTCCTTTCCTTTCCCAGGAAAGGACAAATCCCATTCCTTCCTTTGCCTCAGCAGCAGCCCAAAGTTGGAGTAGCTGAGGCATCCTTTGCTTGTATTGAATCCATACTGGTACGCACCCAAGAAGGAAAGCGTCTTAGGAGCAGAGTGTAGCCCAGTGATTGAGGCTCTGAGGGGAGAAAGGGGCATAGAACACTTTCAGTTGGAAGCAACCCGCAGTGAAATCTAATCCGACTGCCTGACCACTTCAGGGCCGACCAAAAGTTCAAACATGTTATTATGGGCATTTTCCAAATGCCTCTTAAACACTGACAGGCCTGGGGCATTGGCCACCTCTCTAGGAAACCTGTTCCAGTGTTTGACCACCCTCTTGGTAAATAAACGTTTACTCATGTCCAGTTTAGACTGGGATTTTAGTTTCTTTTCCTATAGATTTTTTCTGTTTGTATTTTTCTTGCTTGCTTGTTTAATAACTGTTCAGTAGAAAATGCTAAAACAGTTCTAGAAAAAACTCTGTATGTCCTACTTTTATGCAATTGTTTAAGCTATATAGGCAATTTTGTAAAAGCATCAGTTCCTACATATAGATACTGTTCTTCCAGATGTGTTTTTGAATGGATCTGATCATGATGATTGTGTCTGTGTGCTGTGTATCCCTCTCCCTGTGATTCCACATTTGGCTTAAATCCAGTGGTCGTTTAGCCTGCTGTTGCAAAGAAGGGAATGCCCTGCCTTCCATGCTGGCTGCTCACTCCGGCCCTCTCCAACATTTGTGTTTTTCTCTTTAATCCAACTTAAACGAATCTTTTATTTATTTAATTTCAAAGTCAGTTGGATGAATGAACTGATCCAACTTACTCTGTGGTCAAGCTACAGCTAGAGCTGATATGAAAGAAGTGGCAGAGTAATGTGTCAGGGATTGGTGTGTGGGGTTGTTTTGACAGCAGCGATCAGTTTAAGTCTTAGCCATGTTCATAAATGCCTAATTGATTGTATTCCTCCCGGTAAAGCATAGATTTGTTGCCGTCTTGTTTCTGGATCGCGGCACAGCTTTTTTCCCAGATTGTGTGGTACTTTGAAGTGTGCACAAATGAATAAGTTTAGGCTCCAGAAGGCTGTAGGTATAATGGGGAGTCACCTGGTGAGTTTGAGGAATGCCCATGGCTTTCAGCTGTGGGCTTGGTTTAACATTGTCTTGGAGAAAAGTGTTTAAACACTGACTAAGCTGAGTCCAAATATGAGGCTTAGTGCTAAAATGTTGTGATTTGAGCAAGAGAAAACCTTATTCCCTCACAGGTCAGGAGGTACTCATGGTTTATTTTTGAAGGATAAAAGCATTGATTGTTATGGCATGTACAGCTGCAAGGTAATAAAAGAACAAAGCAAATACTTAGAGTTTATTAATGCTGTTAATGAAACAGAGGCAACTGTATCCTTCGGTTGTATGTGACTAATTATTGAAATGAATGTGTTAAAAGTGTATTAAATACTCTGAGCTGCACGTAATGTAAACAACTGCATTGCTCACATGTTAAGCATCCTTACTAAGCCTTCTTATCCAGCACTTACATTTATACTAAAAAGTATTCTACAGCCATCAGGTAGCTTATCTAATCCTCATGGTTTCATTTGTGCAACCAATCTTCCCCCATCTGTCTCTCATAGCACAGGGTTATAGCTCCCTCCAGAGTTCTGTTCTGTGCTAAAATACAGAAAAAAAATGAGATTCACTGTAAAAAAAAAAAAAAAAAAGATTTTTGTGCTCACAGCATATGATCTGTATGACTCAGTGTTTCACTACCAGGCTGGGCTACGCAATTTTGAATTTGCCTGTTTTGTCTGGTAGCATACTGATTTACTTGTAGAATTTGAAGACATTGGGGGATTTACTTAATAGATTTCTACGTGCCTTTTTATGTGCATTCACCGGTTTTCAGAAAGAGAAAACAAAGGATTGTAAAAGGGAAAAAAAAGAGCCACAGTACAGTTAAGACAGTGTATTATAAAGAATAATATAATGGTTTGAGTGCATAGATATACTTTTTTTTCTTTGTTCACCAAACATTCTCAGCAGAAACAAGATGCTGAATTTATCCACATATTCTAAATGGGCTTAGGGCTAAAGTAAAACAAATGTCCTGCCACCCTATGCTGTGATCTTTGGATGCAGTAAAGTAACACCAAGCGCACATTTTGCTAAATATTTTATTTGCTGCCATGAAGGTAAAGAATTGTTATTTGACCCAACTATTAACTAAGATAGAAACAGCATTTCTAGGTCTTGTTTAACTCAACATTTGTTAACAGTTTTAAGTGGTGCTAATCAAAGAACTCCTAGATTTTCAGCTTCTGAGTAGTCTTCCTTTTATTTATTTTTGAATAATTACAAATATGTCAGATACGGAGGTATTTTATAGATCTTGTTAGAGATCTGAGATATTACTGAACTGGTCATTAACATGAAAATTTTTCTATACATATTTGATGTCTTCTACGTTAGTGCATAGAAATTTGCTGAAATAACAGGGAGAAAAATACTAATTTTAAAATCAGGACTTGTAAAGTCACAAGGTCCCAGTGAGCTTTCTCAGCAATTGAGAACTGCTGGTGGGTTGTGTGTGGTGTGGGTTTTGCTTTGTTTTGGGTATTTTGTCCCGTTTTGTTTTGTTTTGTTTTTAACCTACGGAGATACGGTTTCATCCAGCTGGGATAAAGTTTACAAATTAGTCTCTAGTCCAATACTTGCTGCACTAACTTGACAACCATTTGTGTTTCATGACAGGGCCGTTGTTTGTCACAATGACCAAAACGCATGTGATAGCAGCTTCAAAAGAAGCGTTTTACATCTGGCAGTATCGTGTGGCCAAGAAGCTCACAGCAATGGAAATTAATCAGGTAGCACGGACCAGAAAAGAAGGCAGGGAAAGGTTTGTCTTCAGGCTTTATCATTTTTTTCCTTTGCATTGGTATAATTGGTAAAGGTGGATTCTCCCATGCCTAAAGTATGACCCCTGCCTTCTCATTTTTATACTCAGATTTGTTGGCTCGCAGGCCTGTAAGATTAAATTCTAAAGAACAGTTTTTCATAACAAATTTGTGTTTGTAATCCAAATCTCTTAGATTTTTTTTTTTATTAGTTCCTGTTCAGTGTCTTCATTTGCTTACTGCATGCTTCCCTAAAAGAGCTGTGTGTCCTGATGCTTTTTTCTCCCCCTCTCGTTTTTTACCTCTGTACTCAGTTTCTAGGCAGCTGTGTTCACTCTGATAACTTTTAATTGCTTCTTGTGTGTCAGTGGCTGTAATGACATAGTCTATCCAGCCAGTTCTTCTCTAAATACATTTATGTCTGATTGTATCTTTGATGTCTGTATGGACTTCACTCTTGAACTAAACAAGCCAAAGTCAACACCATCTCACCTCCAAAATATTTCCTTCCCAGGTGCTCATTAGTGGCATTAACGTTTATGTCACCTCCAGAAGCTTGCAACTTTGTTATGATTTTGTTTTGTTATTTTCTGTTTTCTTCTGTAGAGATGCTATAGCATCTTTCTATAAATCCACCATCTCCTGGCACCATATGTCCATAATAATGAGTAATTATTTGTATGTGGTATCATGACTTATATTGTTCTAGTAACTGAATGTCATAGCCTTGAACAAGATTGTAAATCTGACAGAAGTAGTGAAAACGTAAATAATTGTAATTCACCATAAACAGTTAATTTAGCATTCTAAAATCTTTCCTAATGCTACTTTTTAAGGCAAAAGAGAAGTTATGATGAAGTATTGAATACAGTAATACATAAGATTTGTGGATATGAAGGTGAAGCTCTTCAGGTGTGGAGAAGAGGCTGAGGAAATATGGAAGTGCAAGTTTGAAAAGAGACAGCTGGGGTGGTTGATGGTTTGCAGGAACTTTGGTTGTGGAATGAAAGTTTATAAATGATGTGGGAATAGACCATCAGGGGCTGCGAAAGCAAAAGCAAGCACCATATCTTTATATCAACACAAAGCAGGGTTGTCTAAGGGGATACTACTGGAACATAGGAACAGGCATAGCTTTTCCAATTGCAGTAGTTTCTTCTCCAAAGATTGAAGATACCTATATGCTATCAGAAATGATCCTTTCTTTGGACTCACTTTTTCTTTTAACTTATTTCCTACAGGATTTATCATATTGATGACACCCCTTCAGGATCTGCAGATGGACACCTTGATTACAGCAGAGCTATTGAAGTGAGTGATGTTTAACTGGCAGTTTGAAAGAGAAGTCGTTTACATTGCTTTATTTTAATAGATTTTTCATTAGTAGAAGCAGTCATACTTAAAATTCCTGTTACTTCTACCTTTTGTACGCAAGTGTTATTTTTCTTCCCTCTGGTTATGCGTTGTTACTGTGCCATTACACCAAACTGTAGGGAGCGTAGAAAAAGTATATTCTGGGGTCCAGTATGTCGGCACTTGCTGTCTTCTTGGTGAGAAGCAGCTCCCCTTACTTACAAAGGATAAACTTGTTAAAACTCAATAACCCTTGTAATATTTTCTAGTATTTGTGGCCTTTCATATGCGTGTGCATGCACATGCTCACTTTTGTACTTACCAATATACCTGAAATTAATTACAGGCCTCACAAGTCAGTTGCCTTCTTGTGTTTTCTCTTAAACACCTGTTACATTTTAGGCTTCTTATTTTCCTGGAGGAGGGATGGCAATAATAATAATAATAGCTGTTACTATTATTATGGTCGTGATTTCCATAACAAAGACCACTAACATAATGAACCATCTATTTACTGTATACTGACAAAGCCCCTTTCATGTGGGTACTTAGCAACATCTTTGTGTATTTAAATGAAATGTCTTTCTTACTGTTGCATTAAAGCTGATACTGATATTGCTTGTATATTTACAGGGAACAAGAGATCCAATTTGCGCAATAACAGCATCTGATAAGATACTACTTATAGTAAGTTACATGATTAAAATAACTCCTAGTTGCCTCCTGTGCTTGTAGGCAGGAGATTCTTCCGCAATGTGTTCATAAGCAGTCATAATTTCAAAGCATTTCTGAATTCAGAACTTACACAGATGAAATCTTTTTCTAGACATCCTCAAAGATAATTTTAAGAGGTTCTTCTCTTAGCCTGGACTCTTCCTTAAGGAGGGCTAATTCACAAAATGCTTACAATTTAAGTACACTAGTTACCTGAGGTAGGACTTGTGTGTAGGGTTTGATAAAGTCCAGGTCAGGACTTAATTCTGTAATCTGAGTTCTGAGAAGTATCTTCTAGGCTGTATGTAAATGCACAAAGATTTACAAATTTTGTCTATGTATTAATGGTATAATGTGTGATGACAGATAATATCAGATGCATGTAGTGTGCTATACACATATTTTAAACATTTCTGGATTATACATATGTATTATGTATTGTATCATGCCAAACAGCTGGTGTGGTTTTTTTCTCTGATCCGAAACGAGTAATCTCATTTGATGAACAGACATGAAGGTGAGCTTTAAATTTTGGTACTTAAATTTGTTTACTGTTACTCAAGCCTTTGAATAACCAGTGTGTTTTACAGCATTTACTTTTAAAGCTAGCACAGCTCTTGAAGTGGCTGGTGAGACTTGTTAGCGTGCAGCCAGCACTACCTGAGCACAGGTGCACTGCTGTCAGACCCGCACTGTGGTGCTGCCATATGGCACTGGGTGGATTTAGCAGTGTGGGACAGGGATCTTTTCACTCTTTTTTGTTATGTATCCGTGTCTGAAGGTTCATGGCGAATTATTGGACTCCTGAAACTGTTCTGTGGGCTGTATGTGGACTATGGCTGTTCATTTTAACACCCCTGATTTAAGCAGATCTGCAAATTGTAGCATCTTAAGAAAGCAGCTTGTTTAAATAGCAGAATTCAGAACTTTTAGGATGATGGCATTCCCTCTCTCCACTTCTGCTTTGTCACTTATCCAAAAACTTCTTGTCTAGGACAGCATCTAAATAAAACTTTTTTAAAGAGTTTATTGATGGAAATTTTTTTCAGTAAGCAAGCATTGTGTTTCCATAGGGAAGAGAATCTGGCACTATTCAGAAGTACAGTCTTCCTAGCGTTGGTTTAATACAGAAGTATACCCTGAACTGCCGTGCACATCAGCTGTCCTTGAACTGCAACTCCAGGTAGGTTACAGATCTGCTTCTAACACAGGTATCTGATTTCAAAATAAATCACTATGATTTGTGAAAATACTAATTCCATTAATTCTGTGATTCTATAATATGTACTGATTTTACTTTAACATAAACTTCTTATTAATATTTGTTGTTATTAATGTTGCTTAATAATTTATTTATTACTAGTTAATGACATCTGGCCAGTCATCACATTGCTCTGAGGGACTGTGTTAGTCAAGCTCTCTTATGTTTTAAACTCTTTAGGATGTGTGTGGCAAGTTTAAGAAAACACATACATACATGCAAATATCTTTGTTTTATTAGATGACCCAAACATAAGCTTCCTGTGATGATGACATGAATTGAGAAAATTATGTTATAGCCTGAAATTTGGTATCTCTAAGAAGAGATCTCTATTTTGTAGAAATATAAGAAATCTTGTTTTAGAGACTAACAGTCCGCATCACTACACTGACTTTTTAATGTAAGAATCTGCTTCATTGCCTCCTAGTACATAATGAAAATCAGTTCTGTCTAGTTGTTAATGTTAGGCTCTGTCAAGAAAACTTTGGTGAGGGACAGAACCTGCAATTTACTCAACTTGTTTTTGAAGTGCTAAAGATCTTCGAAATGCTGGATGATAAATGGGCACATGTCAGAACCTTTACAAGGCCAGATCCTCTATGAGCAGATGAAAAGCTTTGTTCTGTGTCTCTGGTCTCTCTGCTGTGCCGATAAATGAAAATCACTGAATCTATGGAATTATACTGGCATTAGAGGGGAAATTTGCCCTGAGTGTGCCAGTTTAGGGAACTATTTCAGATTTACAACCTTGAGCAGTATTATTTAAGTGTCTTGTTTTTTTCTTCCTTTGTCTGTAGTCGTGTTGCTATCCTAGACCTTTCAGGTGTTTTGACTTTCTTTGACTTGGATGCACGAGCGATAGACAGTACAGGACAGCAAGTGATAGGCGAGCAGCTGAAACTGGAACGCAAAGATGTTTGGGATATGAAATGGGCCAAAGATAACCCAGATTTGTTTGCAATGATGGAGAAAACAAGAATGTATGTTTTCAGAAACTTGGATCCAGAGGTAAATATTAACATATGTAAACTACTCATTCTACAAATTTGCTCGTAAATTAATGGCTCTATGTTGAACAGGATTATTCTTGTGCTTACTGTACATTTAGGCAAGTGTTTATATAAATAGACTGGCTTCTGAGAATCTCAAAATCTTGTCAACTCTAATGTGGAAGAGTTGCTTAGGAACAAGTAAAATGAACTGTCAGTCCTGGAAAGATAAAAATGCTGCCATATTTTTCTTAAATTTATGAGATATTTTCAGGAGCATATTTTGTGTATGCTTTGAAAAACATAAACACAATTTTAGTAAAGGTATTAGTAAAACATAGTTCAGTTTAATCTAAATATTTTCAGGTGTTCCTTTATCTCATAATGTACTTATAGAAAACATGAGGATATTTAATTATGTCTTTGTATATGGAATTGTCAATAATGGTAATGTATTTATGTATACCTAGCAGATCTGTTAGGATTTAATCAGAGAGAATACAAGTTAATTCCTTTGTAACTTATTTAACTTTAAGGAACCTATACAGACTTCTGGATATATTTGCACCTTTGAAGATTTAGAAATAAAATCTGTTCTTCTGGATGAAATATTAAAGGTAAGTATGATTAATTTAAT